GATTTGCGGGATTTGAAATGTAAAATGCAAAGCGAAACCTGCACAGAAACGCCCGACTCCGGAGCGCGCAGTCACGCAACGACGCACGAGTTGTTTGCCAGTGAAGGCAAGACTCGTTAAAGGAATATTTTGTGCAGTAATTGTGTGATGGAAAGCGTAATAGTCCAACGTTTGCATTTGTTGTTCAACACTCATATGTGTGAGACACGATTCGGGAACGAAAGGAGTGGTATGTTGGGGTGTACAGAGCTGGTAGTCGGATGAGCGATAGGTTTTTATCAGTGTTTCACTAAGTTTGTTTGAAGTTCCCTATCGCCCAACTACTCCCTTTAAGCCAAAGTAAGCCCAACTGTGGTTAGTTACCCAGTAGCACGTTTCTTGGCACATACCAACATTCCTCCATCGCCCAGTGAAAGGTGTTTCTCTGATATTTAATTCCCAGCGTTTTAGATTTTCGATCGATTTCATTTCATCACAATTCGTGCAGATTTTTTTTTGCAACAGAGCGCCTTTCGCTGGTGTTGCTTTTTCCCCCCCTGTGTTGTGTGTGCCTCTTGATCACTGAACCCAATTGAAAGTCCCATCCCTTAGTTTTCTCGCTGATTTCGTCGTTATTATTATAATAATATTATTATATATTTATCGGGGGGATAAATACACACACACACACACACACATAGTCAAACAATCCTGCCCTTTCCAAATCGTTCTTTATTTGCAGCAGTCCGTGGTGTTTACCGTGGATCTTCGAATTTCTTCAGGAAGATCGTTTATTTTAAAAGTATATAAAAAAAACACCAAAGCGCAACTCTGTTGGAATTGGTAAATCGGTGATCTGAACAACGGGAGTCGTTTCTGACTCCTTCCAACGCCAGTGAACTGCAAATGAAATTAAAACATCTGCAACGTCGCTTGAAGGTCAAAAATAAATCGAGTAAAGAGTATAATCTATTCCTCGGTTCAGTTTCGTTCATATCAGCCAATATTTGGGAAAAAATAGTTGTTTTTTTTACCCCCCCCCCCCCCCACACACACACACACAAATTATTTCTGTCTGTGTGCCTCAGATATCTTTTTGAAGTTACTTAACGTTACTTAAACAATACGCTTCTTTTTTAAGTTAGAAAAGTTCCATCAAGTTGAGAAGTAAATCCGATTCTCGATTGCCGAAGCATTTCCAAGATACTATTTCTCAGGCATTCGTTTCAAACCGTCGAACGATAGCTCGTGAAAACATAAACATAAATAAATGAAATTTCATTGCAGAAAAGGAAACGCGATCAAACTGTGATCCTGCAGGTGCCTGAATTATTTTAGGTTTGATTCCTATTCGAAAGAAAACTACCGGGCGAAATAAAAGTTTTAAGTTAAGTACTATTCATTCCTGGGAAGCGCTTTGAGACGCCCTTTCCTACGTGATAATACACTATAACAGATGCAAGGATTATTATTATAATATTACGACAGTATATGCCTATATTACTCCAGTCTACTGACTCCATATGACTTGTATTTGGAAAAAAAAAGTCCTAATGGAAGTTAGTAGATTAGATTAATATTAATAAAATGTCGCAGGAATGACTTTGTAATGCACATCCGACCAATGTTACTGAAACAGGGCGGTCGGTCGTGCTGTGTGGATGAATAGTAATAGTAATAGGTATCCTGAGCTGCTCATATTATTGAAGTGTATTTCAATGACATTTTAAAAGAGAGAGAGAGAGAAAAGTGTCCTCTTCTGGTCTGTTCATTGCTTTAAATCGTATCAATCAATTAATGAACGGGCACTGATTATAAATTGATATAAGGCTGTTTTTTTTTCCCCTACCAAAGAAAGAGATGGCATTTTTTCTGTATCGATATTCATTGATCTTATATCTCATTGCAGTGAGAGTAGATTGACATTCTCGCCGGTTATCAACAGCCCTCTGTTCCAACTATTCCTACTCCATATTTTACAGTGTTCCCAGCGACCGAGATATATTTTACAGGTTTTAACCCTGATGATTGTGAGTTTTACTTATTTTTAATGTATTTTATACTGAGGAATAACTTACATGCCCGCTATCAATAACCCTGTCATTTATAAGCTCCCAATATGTGGATTTTATATTATTGATCCTCAAAGCTGTTAATCTCTGACATGCAAGACATCAAATAATTTTCGAATTACAGAATGCTATATTTGTTTGAAATGATTCCCAGAGCCAGGGCAGACAGCATTCCCACCTAAAATGACCAAAGGCGCCTAATTAATAATTTGAAACAAGGAGACATTAGCGCGTAAATATTTAATGGGGAGAAACTACTCTGCTCGTTCTTCAAACTGTTCTCAAAAGGCGAAATAAGGGGGAAGGTAATGCATTTGATCAACCCCAGTAACTTTTCGCGCTGAGGTCTATTCTTGTTTCTGGATGGATGGGTGTGTGTGTGTGGACTTGCAACTTTGATCCAAATTACCGTCCCACGCCTGTGTATTGGGTCCTTGCCTGTGTGCTGAGTGTTTTTTTTTCTCTCTCTCTCTCTGCTATAAGACCTGGCAGATTACAATCCTGTGGCGGACTGCACAGAGCATCACCATGTCTTTAGTGAGGCAATTGCAATTACTACATGATTCCCCCCCCCCCACCCTCCACCCTCCCCCCATCCCCACCCACCCACCCAGAGTACTTCGTTAAACCACTCGAATTGGTAGCCTCCTTTTTGTCACACTGGATTCTGACAATTTCCTGCAACAGATGAATAAATACCTCTCTCTCTAAATATATAATATATCTTATATATACTTAAATGAATGCATAAAGAAAATATATGTGCAATTATTATCTATATTTATTTATAATTCCACTTGAATGTCACCCTTTCTGATAAATTATATATATAATAGAAGGGTGACATTCAAGTGGAATTATATAATTATGTATATATTACGCATATGTTCGGAGGGGTTGAAATTCAAGTGGAAAACGAAATGAACACGAAATACTTTGCAAAGCTCTGCAGAATGACTCTGTGTTCAAATTTAACCATAGCGTAAAAAAATAAACGTTTCAGACGCATTTTATTCGGGGATGGGGGATATCAAGATTTTACACGATTTATGGAGCGTTTAAGGGCGTTCGCGATTTGACAGATTCTGAACTGCAACTTGAATTTTGAAGCCAGTTTTATTTTTTTTAATGAGAGCTATCGAAAGCCACCTTCAAAGTTAAGGACGAATTGAACATTTTCTTTCAAAATTCTGGTTTCCAAAATGCTACATTAAATAGGGCAAATTTAATTCCAAGTGGAATTTCTCCCCATTTATTTGAAACAAATAATCTATAAAGAAAGTCACATTCCTGGAATACATTTTTAAAAAAAGCAGAGAACAATGTCCCAAAGAAACATCAACCCAATGTGACATTTACCCACCAAGTGTTTTGCTTGTTTTATTTAATATAAAAATAGAATTAAATACAGTACTGAAACCGGCGTGTTTTTTTTTGCAGCCTTGTGCCTAAAAGGCCAAGTGTTTCTTTTAAAAAATATGAAATTCAAATTGATAAATAAAGTAACCATTAATGATGCATCGTTCGTGTTAAAGAGAACACATACAGAAAGAAGTAAGAGGAGGTGTGGTCGGTACAAATGTGTACCCGATTACAGATTAATAATAGGGGTATTTATAACTATTTCCACTACATTAATTGCCACTCGTCTTTTTTTTTACAACCCCCCCCCCATCCCCGCCTCGTCCCTTGCGTTTTTCCTGGCTTTTTTCCCCCCCCAGGTTTGTCTTTTCAGAGCAGGAGAGAGAACCGTCGGATTGCGAGCATTTTATACGTTCAATTCAGTCACAAAACATATGGGGCAAACTCGCGTTCTAACACGAATAAGATTCGCTTGAGCGAATCCCAACAAAAGTCTAATTTTCCCTTTACAAGGAGCAGAGGCGTTGAGTGTGAATGAAAAATATCGACCGGTATGAGAATATGAACAGATGCACTTTAAGTGCAAAGACTGGAGGGTCCTTCGCCCATTGCAAAGAAGCCCAAAATGTATATGCTGTTCATTACCGACAGCATTCGGCTCAACACTTGGGAGCACGTTTAGCTCTACTAATTTATGCCTGGGGTGGGGTGGGGGGGGGGGGGGGGGGGTGGGGGGTGGCATTTATACATTGCAACCCAAAAAAAAGGCCAGCATTTTCAATCCGAGGACTAAAAACGACAATGTGCCATTTGAGGCCGGCTTTGAATTGTGCATTGCCATCCGTGCACAGAGCCACAGATACCATTGAAATGCGGAATGTTTTAAACCGTTTAAAATATTTCCAGCTGGAGGGGAGGGGAGGGGAGGGGTGGGGTGGGGTGGGGTGCCGCACCGAATTGGACCGAGTCGCTTTGCCTTTGGGCTCCCAGGTTTCTGCAAATGTTCTGGCCTGGGTGGCAATGAATGGAAAGCTGTCCCATCGCCCTAAAACTCTCAGCCCCTGTTAATTCCTGTCGCCCGTCCTTCCACAGGACCCCCGACGAAACGTGCGCTTTTGCGGTGCACCACATCCACTCTCACGACGACAGATGGATCACCTCTTTGCAAGTCGTTCCATTGGCAGATTCTGAATGAGCGTAAAATTGGCGAATCGGAAATGATTCACAATAATCATAATCATAATAATAATAATAATAATAATAATAATAATAATAATCCTTGCATTTGATACAGCGCCTTATCACGTCGTTGAGACGTCCCGAAGCGCTTCACGGGATAGACGGTAACGTGGAGTGACAGTGTTGTGTGGGCGAAATGGACAAAATGCAATCAGAGGCTGGTTATGAAGATAAAAGGGTCATTTTTAAAAATATATATATATTTGTTGGAAGTCCAGATTTGGTTTGATTCAAGAGCAGAGCGAGTTGTTTTGTGGCTGCGGTTCTGTGTTTCGTGTGTGTGTTTTTTTTTTTGGGGGGGGGGGGGGGGGTGTTGGTTTGGACTGACAGATGTATGTTTTCTCTTAGCTAACCAGGTTGCAAAGAAGCTCAACAGGCGAAAGAAAGCACACACACCTCCCCAACCCCCACCCCCTCCCCAAAAAAAAGAGTCTCCGGTTAATCTGCTCAAACGGCAGCTGTTGGCTTTTGGAGTCTTCAAGCGTCACCTTTGACATGTCCCCTTTTCAATCAGGAACGACCTCCAGCAACTGACCACTCTCCACAGCCCACAAAAGAGGCGAAGACGACGCCGGGGCTCAAGATGCTGCTTACATTTTACCCATCACACAAGCCCTGCCTGACGTTTGGTTGGAATAAGTCATGTCAGAGCTCAGAGGCCTGGACCAGATCTCATTTCATTTCATTTCAAAAAACATGTTGATTTCTCTTACTCCCTCTAGCCCTGTCCACCCCCCCTCTCCCTCCACCACCCCCCCCCCTCTCCCTCCACCCCCACCCCCCCAAAAAAAAACACTTCAAAATACTGACACTGTCTGTGATCATCAGCCAAACCTCACTATTACTGCCACACACAATTCTGTATTAAATGTGTCACACGCGATTAAAAAAAAATCCAACCAAATGGAGTCCAATGCTACTGTTTTACTCAATGTTTTGCTTTTTATTTGTATTGCATTGTGGTTTTGGCCTCAATTTGTATGTGTCCCCCCCCCAACCCCCACCCCCTCCAAATTAGCGTCTGTATGGGTCGAGCGAGTCGATTATTATGTGCTGAATCAGATTTTGTGGCGATATAAAATGATATTATTTGCACTAACTGACTAGTATTTTTGTTTGGTCGATTCTATTGGGGTTACTTTCGGGTGACCTCGACTGCAAAGGCAACTTTAGACAATAGAATCGAATTGACACGAGACCCCATTGCAAATCCTCGGCATTTTTATTTGTATCATAGTTTTGTTCTGGAATATACAGCACTGATGCGGTGAGATTTATTATATTACAGTAAACAGCAGTTATATGTGTGTGACGTTCTGTCCCAAATAGCCTATTTTATAAAATAGGATTCCATTATATACATAAAATCAATAATCTGAACACAAGCGATTAACTAATGAGATGTTTTCTGATTAATATTTGAAGGGCGATAACAAAGGGATGCCCATCTTCAACAGACTTATGATTTCGAAGGGGGTATTATTTCATATAGCAGAGCGGAATCAGCTGCTGCTAAACTTGTGTGTTAGCATAATGTACTAATTATATATAAAGAGTGTAATATGTGCACCTGAACGCTTACTTGGGCCTTGGTTAAAGAGATCATACGAAGAGAGATGCATTTTCCAATTGATTCCTTTTTAAATTCTGTCCAGCATTTTTTTTTGTGTGTGTGTGTGTGTGTGTGTGTGTGTAGATTTCTAGATTTTTTTTTTGGTCATCTCGTTACCGCCATCACAGTCAGCGGTTTAATTTTCAGGAAATAAAGGAGTAATTAATTTGATTGATCCCTCCCCGTTGCCTGTATGTTTACACAGATTTTCTGGCAATGAATTCGACACTCATGCCCCCACCCACCCCCTTCCTCCCATTGTATGGCAATCATTCGCTCCACCCCCCCCCCCCCCCCCCTCACCTCACACACACACACAATCAATTCTAGCAATTTCATGTAGATCTGTTCAAATTCAGTCAAATATCATAATCCACTGTGTCATAATTTCGTCCCTCCCGCAGTTCTCTGGCGAGAGCAGAGACACACACACACACACACCACATTTCCCCCAACACTTGGTCTGGTCTCATCGGTTATTGTTAATCGTTGAACAATGGGCACATCTGTGCAGTCTTTGCCAAGTGAGTACCTTATCCGACCAAGTGTTTTAAACAGGAACGGTAGCATGTGTCATCAGCGTCCTTTTTTTTTATTATAGAAACCATCACATTGTTTCCAGCAGCTCTTCAACTTTGTGTCTCTCCCCCCCCCCCCCCCCCCCACACACACACACACACACCCACCCCACACACCAACAACCACCTCACACACACACATACACACACACACACACACACAAAAGTTATTTACTCGGTTTGGAGTCAGTCACATTGCAAAATGAAGCATCCAATGCAACGATTGGGATGGTGTGGGGGTGGAGGGGGGGGGGATGGAGGATGGAAATACTATGTGTGTGGGGGGGGGGGGGGCTTCTTGCACATTTTGTTTGCTAATTCTCTTGCACTGTTGTCGTCAGGAGTGACTTCTGTGGTTAATTAAATCTACATCATCTCCTTTTGTTGGCCTATCGAAGCCCACTGTATTGATCAGTCGTATATTACAGGTTTGACTGAACACGTTGCGACCAGTTTTTGGGACTGTACTTTGCAGCTGCATCGTTTCGGTTGGAATCTCCAAATCGGTGGCGACTGCCGCTGTTTGTGCACAAGAAACCTCAATATATAACACCCCAATTGGTCTCTCCCCCCACCCCCACCCCTCCAAAAAAAGGGAACGAGAGAAAGAGAGAGAGAGGACACACACAACAATAGATGGCGAGAGCCAGTCTTTCATTTTCAGGGAGATTTGAAGTGTCTTTCATTTTCAACTTTATTTTCCAATCTTTATGGTCCGTTAATAAAATTAACGGATCCTGACATCTGGCGATCAAACGGATCTTTATCGGTGATGTTATTTAGATTGGAGTTTGAGTCGACCTTAAAGCTGAACTGCGCCTTGTTCCAAACCCACTACCTGTCCATTTCAAGTCAATCCAATGAATTCATAATCAATTAACCGGTGATCCACGCGTGTGCTGAGGCTGTAAGTGTGTGTGTGTGTGGGGGGGGGGGGGGGGGGGGGGGGGGGGGAGTCGACCTGCAATGTATTGCAATTAAAAACAAATAAATAAAATAAAAACACACTTGCAAAATAAAACAATGAAACGCACCAGAGAGAGAGAGAGAGAGAGAGAGACACACACACACACACACACACACAGAGAGAGCTCTCTTTGTGTTCGTTTGATGGATTAGAAATGCAATAACAAAAGATGGTGAAATTTACGTGTGTGTTGATTTTGGAGGTGGGGAGGGAATGAGGTGCTGGTGGTGGTGGTAGTGATGGTGGTGGTGGTGGTGGGGGGGGTGGTGGGGTGGGGTGGGGGATGGAGAGGAAATAGGGGTGTAAATAGGGTGCTTCATTGTACAGCTTGGAAAGAACAGCACCGCTTTAATACAGGAGGTTGTGCTGTGATTTGATTTGATTCCCCCCCCACCACCCCCCCCACCACCCCCCCACCTCTCTCCCCCCCTCCTCTCTCTCTCTATTTTGTGTTGACATGGGAAACCCGGAAGGAAATATTAAACTCCAATTGGTCGGTGGACGTCAGGGCGGTGCGCAGACACTGTGTGGCGCATTCTACCCCCCACCCCCTCCCTCCCCCTCCCTCCCTCCCTCCCTCCCTCCCCGGCTGGGGGGCTGCAGCAAAGCCGGGGCCAAAGAGAGAGATCGGAAGCGTAGAGCAACACTGGACATGGCAAGAGATGGCGAGGGACCACACGGTGGGAGTTAGATTCGCGGCTGCTGGCGCTCTCATGAATGAACCGGGGCCTTAACGCACACACACACAGACACACACACACACAGACACACCACAGACACACACACACACATACAGACACAGACACACACCACCATCATCCTCATCCACATCCACCACCACCACCACCATCACCCCCCCAAAAAAAACACCACCGCCACCACTCAAACCACACACACACACACACACCTACACACACACACACACTCCCACACACACACTCCCACACATACACACACACACACACACAAAGAAAGGAAGAAAACATCACACAGGGGAGAGAGAGAGAGAGAGAGAGAGAGAGAAATAAGGAGGAGGGAAAAGGGAAGAAAGAAAGAAAGAAATTGGGATCCAATGCCAAACAAAAGCTCAACGTGAAGTTGCACCTCGATGTGCAGCTCTCCCGAGGACCAGGCGAGATAGATGTGGAGTGCCAGGACTTGGGCGCATCATGAACGCTCAGCTGACGATGGAGAACATCGGGAATTTGCATGGAGCGAACCATGATTCACTGGTCCAGTCGGGCGACCTGATGAGCAGCTCTCACAGCCGCATCGCTCACCGCAACCTACCGGCCCACGCTCGCTCCATGGTGTCCAGCATGGCTTCCATCCTCGACAGCCCCGCCAGCGACTACCACCGGCCCCCGGAACACGCACTGGCCGCCCCGCTCCATCCCACCATGACCATGGCTTGCGAGACCCCGCCCGGGATGAGTATGAGCAGCACCTACACCACCCTGACCCCTCTCCAGCCGCTGCCCCCCATCTCCACCGTGTCGGACAAGTTCCCTCACCATCACCACCATCACCACCACCACCATCACCAGAGGCTCCCGGGCAACGTGAGCGGCAGTTTCACCCTCATGAGGGACGACCGGGGTTTGAGCTCCATGAACAATCTCTACAGCCACTACCATCACAAGGAGGTGACCGGCATGGGGCAGGGCTTGTCGCCTCTGTCCGGCTCCTCTCTGGCCAATGGCTTGGGCGCCATCCACACCTCCCAGCAGGGTCTAGCGTCCTATGGTCACCCGGGAGGACCCATGCCCGGCGACAAGATGCTGACCCCCAATGGCTTTGACGGGCACCCGGGGCTCCTCGGCCCCCGGGGGGATCAGCACCTAAGCCGCGGGCTGACCCCTCCGTCGGTAGGCATGGTGCCCATCAACGGGCTCCACCATCACCCTCACGTCCACCCTCACGGCCAGGGTCACGGGCAGGTCCTGGGCTCGATACGGGGGGATCAACAGCCCCCTTCCTCCAACGGCTCCCAGGCCAGCGGGGGCTCGGGGCAGCTGGAGGAGATCAACACCAAAGAAGTTGCTCAGAGGATCACCACGGAGCTCAAGAGGTACAGCATCCCGCAAGCCATTTTCGCCCAGCGGGTGCTGTGCCGCTCGCAGGGCACCCTGTCGGACCTCCTGAGGAACCCCAAACCCTGGAGTAAGCTCAAGTCGGGCCGGGAGACTTTCAGGCGCATGTGGAAATGGCTCCAGGAGCCGGAGTTCCAACGAATGTCGGCCCTGAGGTTGGCAGGTAAGGGCACAGCTCTGCCAATCCCCCCCCCCTCTCTCTCTGTCTCTCTCTCTCTCTCTCTATCTCTATCTATCTCCATATGTGTCATATATAATATATCATAAGGTAACCCAGATCGCAGGGCTGCTCTTGCATTGTCACACAACCAACCGTCTGTGAAGACCAGACTGACTGGGGTGGGGTGGGTTGGGGTGGGTTTGCTGGGTGGTGGTGGTGGTGGTGGGGGGGGGGGGGTGTCGGGGGTGTTGGGGTTTTGGTGGCGGCTGTCATTACAAAAGAACCAGGCGATCGGTCCCTCGCTGTTGCTGTCCTGTCTGGGTGGTCTTGCTATCTGGTGAAGATCGTTGCGACTCCAACCCCATCAACTGACTTACCTACCGACCTGACCCACTTTGGGACGTTAACTCGGGCTCTTAAAGCCGTTAACCGACGCGAGAGAGACAAAGAGGGGGATGGAAATAAATAAGTGTGTGGTGTGAGTGTGTGACTGACTGACTGACTGACTGACTGGGAGAGGGATGGTGTGGCAGTGTTGAAATGGTGAGTGTGACAGTCACATCACACCGGTCGGGTCCAGTCCGGTGTCTCAGTGTGACAGCTGTCTGCATACACCTGTGGCCAGTGGTGAGCAGACAATGCTGGTCTAACGCTGTGTGGGTGTCTGTGTGTCTGTGTGTCTGTCTGTGTGTCTGTGTGTCTGTCTGTGTGTCTGTGTGGGTCTGCATTGTAACCCACAAGCCAAACTCACAAGCTTTTCCTGTCTGTCCCTTCCCTCCTGGACAAAAAGAACTCGCCCCGTGACACTCGGTGGCTTCAGTCTCCAGCAACGCTTTCCTGGACCCCCTTTCCTGTGCTTTTTTTTTAAAGGAAAAAAATGTTTTAGCTCATGGGATTGAATGGTCGGCTAACTCCCCCCCCCCCCACCCCACACACACACACACACCCCACACACACACAGCCACACGGGTATTTATTTGTGGTCGATGCCAACCCCCTTGTTATTTGTGAATGTGTCTGTCTCTGTCTCCCTAAGGGCGATCGGTTGCGCTTTGTGTGTGTGTGTGTGTGTGTGTGTTTTTGGGGGGTGGGGGCAAGGTATGTTGGGCTTTACGTGTGCAACGGTTTACGAAGGCGTTGTGTCAACTTTGGGAAAGGTTTAACGTGTGTGTGTGTGTGTGTGTAGTGGTGGTGGTGGGTGGGGGGATGTAGAGAGAGAGAGAGAGAGAGGAAACCCTGGGCTGCCTCTGTCGGTGTGGCCCTGCGTGAGGTTTTGTTAATTAACTGATAGGTCTCCATTAATTTCTCCCAGGAGGACCAGACACTCAATCTCAGCGCGAGTCAGGAGTAGTGATCCGTTTCACACAGGGGCTCTGGCGCGCCCGGTGTGAGCATTTATAATTCCTGCCCTTAAAAGTGCACAAAGAAAATAGCCTTTTTTTCTTCTCCCCCCTCTCTCACCATAGCTGTGTCGTTTTCAGGAGGTGTATTTTTTTATTTATATATATACACATATATATACACATATATATTATATATATACATTATATATTTTTGGATATATGTATATAATCCCTCCCCCCCAAAAAAAAACATCCTAAAAGATAGATGCACATTGCTTTTTTTATTGGAATCACTTGCAATTGGGTCAACATGTTAGGTTTGCATCGTGTGTGTGTGTGTGTGTCTGTGTGTCTGTGTGTGTGTGTGTCTTGTGTGCGTTTTCTTCGAAAAAGGAATTCGTTTTCATGGCTTGACAAAGTGCAAAGATCTCACGCTTCTTCCAAATCAACAATATAAGCCATGGTCTGTCATAAATGTGACACCGTGCGTGGTTTTTCCCGCACTTAAAACCTACCTTATATAAATCTTGGGGGGTTTTTTTTAAAAAAAGAAAAGGGCCACTGTCTCTGCCAATAATCGCATCCCAATTTGTAGAAAGTTGCCTCTTTTGTGTGTGTGTGTATGTGTGTATATATATATATAGATATGAAAAGTCACCAAAAGCTACTGTTTGAAACGTTGCCCTTTCACATCCACAATGTTGGTATTTATAATGTGATGTGTTTTGAGTATCTCCAGTCAAATGAGTATAATCCCCAAATGCAGTGTCTCTCGCCACGTTGTTGTTGAGTTGAGTAAATATCTCTGGTCCAGAAATCTCCATCGAACGATTGATAACACTCGGATGGTTCGATTTTTTTTTTTTTTTTTTTTTTAGACGCTGCCTTGAGTGTATTTTTACGACAATTTTGTCGACCTCCGTCTACATTTATTTGCATGGATCGATACTGGAAACAACCACTTGAATTAGAATATGTTGTGGAGATGTGTTGGGGCTGTTATCTGAAAGGGAAAACGCTGCCAAAAGCGGGACTTGCCTCGTGGTAATACAGGTCACGTCTACTTTTCAACAGAAAATACCCACACACTGATTTGGATTGCTAATGATCCCTTTAACCACTTGAACCTCTCGGATCCTCTTCAACAGGATTGTCATGTTAGTTCCTGTGTTTGGATCGTTTCAATTCCCAAATCGCACTTACCCCCTTTTTGTTTTGGTGGATACGCTCGAAACTAACCCTATATGTATAACTATATATATATTTATATGTATAGTTATATATATATATATATATATATATATATAAAAAAAACACCCCAGTCCAACTCATTATTTTTAGACAACCGGTGGTTTTATTCGTTTGTTCTTTTTGCATCAAAAGAACACGTCTCTGATTTAAACAAACAAACAAATGAGTTCATTGAACGCTGATCGCATCGTCACTGGGGGTTCAAATGTAAAGACTCGTCTCCTCAACTCAGGCAAATGCAAAGATTGTTATTGTTAATAGCGATAATCCTCGCATTTGATATAGCGCCTCGGAGACGTCTCGAAGCGCTTCACGGGATATTACTGTATGAGGCGGTGGGGTTTTTTTTGGAAAAATAAGTGGAACCCCCCAAAAAACCATCAGTGAACCATTCGTTTGCCCAAGCAAACAAAGCATTTATGATCTTGGTACGTTTATTTATCGGAATTAAACTGAGTCGTTTAAGATTACTGCGTGCAAGTGATTAGACAACAGATGTTTAGCCGGGGACAGTTTTCCTTTTAATTACAGTTTATGTTCTCAGGAGCAGGCGGTTCTATTTGGACCTTATAAGGGAGGGAGGGAGAGAGAGAGAGAGAGAGATGGGGTGGGGTGGGGGGAGGAAGAGCTAAACTGCCTTTTCTGTGAAGACATAAACAATGTTATGAGCTAAGTGAAATGTGTTATTCATACGGATTTCTCCTGGCTTTGTCCAGTCAGGCTCCTGTGTTTGCCCCCCTCTCCTGCAGCTCCCCTGGGGACGCCTCGCACCGAGATTACATTGAACCTCCCGCAAACAGTCGAAAAATTGGTAGTTACATGTAAGGAATATTGAGGTCTTGACACTTTCTGCGCTGTCTGCAAATGTAAGCAGAGGACGCTAATTGCAAGCCTGACCTCTTCCAGTCTCCATTTTGTTCTTCCTTCGTCATCTTTCAAAATTAGATTTATCCCTTTTTTTTTAAGAACACTGGACTTGAAAAAAAATGTCTATTTTTTTACATATATATATATACATACACATATGTGTATGTGTGTGTGCAACACACTCTATGTGATATTGTCGTCAGGAAAGCAATTGCGTCGGTCAGATTTACTAAGACATTGTTTTAAAAAAATTGAGAGATTATATTATTAGGTTTAAGAGCATTAGTTTGAAACAAAAGTAGATCTTTTGTATGTGTGTGTGGGTATATATATATGTGTATAATATATAATATGCAACACACTTTATTTGACGTTGTAGACTGGAAACATTCATCTTTCCGACTTACCAATACAAATACATTGTTCTAAATGGGAGAGATCTATAACATGGGATAAAGAAGGAATGGCAGCGTTAATATTTTTAAATAACAGTGACCGTGAAATATTGCATTCGTCTTATTACGAAAAAAAAACATGAAGCAGACAAGACTTTTGGTGGATCAGTTGTTTCCCCCCCCCCCCCCCCACCTGAAGGTAATTAAAATTATTTACGTTTGCAAAACACTTACATTTCGGGGGAGTGCTTTATTTTATTACCAATTAATTAATCTGTAAGCGCACAGATATAACGTTCAGCAGAGAGTTGCATTATTTGTGTAAGCGCTTGACTAAGAAAAAAATATGTGATGGGTGGGGGGGTGGGGGGGAGTGGGGAGGAAAAAAAAACGCAGCAAATCATCTCTCCCACTGCGCCAAAATGCACACTTTCGCTAAGGTGTGAGAGAAAGAGAGCAACTTTCTTAAATGCAGCTCCAGAGATTGCAATCGTTCAGGTGAAACTTTCGTCGAGAATTTAATTTCTGTTATGTTATTCCTGTTATAGCATTTTTTTTTTTTTTAAATCCTTTGTTGCGCGAATCATCGGGAAAGATAACAGCGGGAATGCCTTCGGTTCCTGGTGACTCGCACACAACGAATCGGTGGTCAACAGTTACCCACCAGGAACGCTCTTCAGTTTCATTTTCGCGCAAAGTGGAGCTGTTAAAAGGAAAGGGGGGACGGGGAGAGGGGGGGGGGATGGTTCAAAGCGTTATTATAATAATGTTAGACATTTATTAGTTATTAGCAATAAGCCGCACTCGTTTTTTTTGTGTGTGCTGTTGCAGCTGATGAATTAATAGGATGTGTTAAGTGTCGCAACGGTGTGCGTTTGAATGGGAAGGGCATGTGCAATCCTGCGCCAAAATTGGTTCTACATAGGCGCACGGTTTATTCTCGCCTCGGTGGGTTAGGGTTGATCAGGGTCTAAAGGGCTTTCAGATTGTAACTCTCTGTATATATATATATATGTAAACATACACAGAAGAGGCTATATTACAGCGCTGTTAGCTCCCTGTGGCTTCACCCCATCACAGGCCTAAATATGCGAATAGTCTCTTCAAACTGTATTTAGCGAATACATTATAACGCGCCTCACATCCTCCACTTTCCACCCATTTAGCAGTGGCCAAGGCGCAATCAAATGTCACAAGGGGGGGGGGGGGTTAAAAAAAAGGATGACATATTCCTTTAGACGGGATGTGTAACTATTTCTACGTGTCTTGCAAAAGAAACAGCCCCTTTTTCAACCTGTAAGTAAGTGATTTACAATTTATTTTTTGGGTTTGTTTCGGTGGAGGGGATAAGTCGCCACTTCCCATTAACGTCCCGAAATCGCAACGATCGGAATGATCAGGAATGATGTTTAGTTGTTATTTTTTTTTCCAAAAAAAAACACACACACACAAGAAATATGGGGAAGGTGTAAAAGCGTGCGTACTGTCGGCGTATTGGTGAGCGTAATTGAGGGTATGGTGTGTGTGTGTGTGTGTGTGGGGGGGGGGTGTTATTTATGGGATGTGCACTCCAGCTTCCGAAACACTCGACCCTTTGCATAACAAGACCAGTAAAGTGCTTCAAGACGGGAAAACAAGGTGAGCTGCTGGAGAGGCTTCAGAGGATTCAACCAACCCCTTGGGTTTTTTTACGCTGCAAACGTGGCAATCCCCGCTGTGGCTGCGCATCGATAGCGGAAAATAAAAAAAAGGCGATGTTTTCCCCACTTTGAAATCCCCTTTGCCATCTGTGTTCCTGGCAGTCGAAAGCAGCAGCTTTTGCTGGAAGGGAAGAGAGAAGAGAGCGTTCGCTGTTGTTGGGGTATATATTTTCGTGTGGTCCAATTTCAGTTGTGACACTGCAGTCCCCAAGTCTTCTTTAATTATTTTTTAGAAAAAAAATTACATTTTCCGCCAATTCCTCCCGTTTTAATTGGGGCCCATTTTGTACCTGATTGGCGGTGCGTATTTGGGGTTTAATTAATTTCTCTTGCGATTAATTAATTTCACTAAACTATTTGACCCAGAAATGTCCTCGTCTTCATCCGGAAGGGAGTTTCCTTCTGTAATCTCACTGCCCACACGAGCAAAACACACGAAAGTCAGGCGCCTTCGACAAGTTTCCAATAATAAATTAATACATCAGCAGCTGATCTTCGAGACGTCTCAGAGCGCTTCACAGAATATACCGTCAAGTGCAAACTGACTGCGTATTTTGTGGGCGAAACTTAGCCGTCGTAAGTTGTAGGTAAACTCTTATTTTTTTGGAACCCCCCCCACCACCCCCACCATTCGCAGTATTTGCAGTATTTGCAACTCGCTGTTGACTTGTTTGCGTTTAAACGATAAGAGCAAAAGCGATAGGAGGTTTCTGGAATATTTTAGGCTCAGAGAGTTTGGGACGATGGGAACGGTGTCCACCTGTGACATTTCCTGATTTGGGATGTCAGTGGCCTTGTAGACCTCATTGATTTATAACCGGCTCATATCCAACCCACGTTTGCTTTCTGTTAATGTTTGCCCAAACCCCGAGCCATTTACAAGCATTTAAACGACGTTACCGGTAGTTAGCAGATCATTCAATACCCCCTCCCCCCCCCCCCCCACCTCTCTCTCTCTCTCTCTCTCTCTCTCTTAAAAACATTTACCAAACCTTAAAAACAGCTAAAACGTCCCGTTCCTAATATTGCCCATGTTTTGAGAGGAAAACGTGGTACATCCTCAACCCAACATCTAACTAACTGTGCTGTGCACTGGAGTTTATAGTTATATGTATGTATATATATATATATATGTGTGTGTGTGTATGTATGTGTGTATATATATGCATGTGTGTGTGTGTGTGGAACAAATGCTTATGCACAAACTCTCTTGCCACTGTTTTGCAATGCCACGATAATGACTTTTTTTACGAGCAAAGTGATAGCTGTCTTTGGGGTTAGAAATCTCTGAGCTGTTGCTTTTACGCGATGGGGTTGGTTTCTTTCCTTCATCCGTTGGCCCCATTTGTGCAACAACGCCCGGCGTTTCGATTAGGTTTCAGTAAATAATTAAAAGGACTATTGATAGCCTTCGTGCACTTTACGAAGATGACTACGATTGTAATTAATAGGTGAATGATGAAGTTTAAACTGTTATCTCCCCCCCACCCCCCACCCCCTGTATCTGATTTGATTGAAGTAATTGATTGAGGTGAGAAATGGCGTGAAGCAATTCGATGGGAAAAGGGGGTGTGTGTGTCTGTGGGGGTGAGGGGAGAGGGGAGAGGGGGGTGGGTGGGGGGGGGGGAGATGAAATGATGTGAAATGATGTGAAATGAGCACACCGTGCATTGCATATTTTTTTTTTGCAGCCAGAACCTCTTTTTTTTCTCTTAATTTGTACGATTATTTTTTCAGACGCGTTCCCACGTCACGTTGATTGTTGTGGTCAGAGATGCTCGGGGGAGATGGCCACAGCAAGTACGTTGATGAACAATTTTTTATTTTTTATTCTAATAATAATAATAATAACCCCAAAAAAAAAACATTTCAACCCCCCCCCTCCCCAAAAAAAAAAACAACCACAACAACTTGTAGTGTTTCGAATGGGACTCACGTGGAGATCGCATCTCTTGGTTTACCGCTCGTCGCTTTCAATGATGTTGTGATTCCGTTCTGTTTGGGGTGTGAGTTTGATGTCTGGACTTGACTCGTGTTTAGGATCCCTCGCGATAAAAGCTTACACTAACCGGTTCCGAAAAAGAAAAAAAAGAAGCAATTACCTAAACGGGTTACGGCCCCAAATAAAAATCGCCGCTCGAATAATCCACTCTCTGTACATATCTATTCATTAAATAGCAGCATACAGAGGGGATACATGGCATCGCACCCTGTCGGATAACAAAACCATGATCCCCCAATAGAGCCAGGTATTAAGAAAGACTGTTTTAAGTTTTCGAAATAAAAAAAAACACTTGTTTTCCAATGTCAAAACGAGGGTTGTTAGCTCGTACCAAATGTGGGCTACAATCATATCACAGTTTCTGTGCTGGCATTATTATCTGTCTCTCTGTCTCTCTCTCTCTCTAACAGTAAGCAGATAGCTGTGAGATAGGCTTAATGTACCTCCTGACATATGTTTTGTCCGTAGCTCAAAATAAATCAAGAAAGTATGAGTGGCAACATGAATTCAGTGTCTTGCAGACACAGTTGAAATGTTCCAACGGACCATTGCTCCACCTGCCGCCTATCATGTGAGTTTCAGTCTATACCTCGTATAAGTTAAATAAATATTTATGGCCCAAGAAACAAAACTGGGGCGTTTACAACATTGGCCAGGGAGGTTAGAACCCGTGTCCCTTAGTAGACCGCCACTAAACACTAGAGGCTGGAAAGAGACCACAACCCCAATAGAATTAGGCCCTCTTGTGTTTTCATGAAGTTATTTTTTTGTTATTTATTTTATATATATATATATATAAGAAATTGTCCTATTGAGTCTCCATTGCCATCTTGTGTGTACAAACAAAAAGGACGTTTCATTTTCAGCCAAACTCCCTCTTTTTGTTTTTTGGGAAAGCGAACGACATTCTGGGATTTAGGGGTTTATTAAAGCCTTGGTGTTTTAATGAGCCGCGACATTAAAGTCTGGTTTTACAATCCAGCATCGATCCGGGGGGGGGGGAGGAGGATGGTATTTATTGTAACTGGAAGTGTGGAGCTGTTGAGTTTAGGGGAGGTTTTAGTCTGGCTGCTTTGTCCCTTTGCTTGACCAATGTTGGTCAGCACCACTGTTGACATTCAGCACCATGGACAGCTCAGCCCTGTTATTTTTCTCTCTCTTTCCCCCCCCCACCCCCACCCAAAAAAAAACTAATTAAAAATACACCCTTTTAAAAACAAGCCAATGTGACCATCTTCAGGTAAATCACCGGATCGATATTTACCCCCCCCCCCCCCCCCCCACCCTCCCACACACCTTTTTTTTTCTCTTCCCTTCTGTTATTTCCAAGATAAATAACGTTTGGCAGGAATTTATCTTGATCTTGGTCCTACAGGTTCAGCTGGAATGAGTCTTGTCACTTCCTGAGCTCCTGAGGCTGGTTGACCTCTGCAAATGCATCTCTTGTTTAACACTCTCTTGGCTGCTGAGGTTATGTTATTTAGCTCAGTTTTAAAGCACAAGCATTAAAAAAAAACACAGGGCAGCATATTTCTCAATTTGGCTGACTGTCTGTGTGTGTGTGTGTGTGTGTGTGTGTGTGTGGGTATGTGTGTGTTCTTGTGTGTGTGTGGGGGGGGGGGGGGGGAGAGGTGTTGTCGCAGTCCTAATGAGATGAATTAATTTCACACTAAAACCTCCTGATGCATTCATGAGAGAATCAGAGCTTTCCGACCTTACAATTATTGGTTTTCTGAGGAGTGTGTATTTTTCTTTTCACAAACTTGGTGTTGCATTTGTCATCCCACGAAGACCGATAATACATTACAATTTTGTGACACTCTTGCATTATCTTATGATCTAAAGAAAAATCCTAGTTAATGCTCAAAAGTTATTCTTTAATATTTAATTGTATTTAATCAAACAGCAGATAGGTTTTATTTGAGGCGATTGGTTCAGTTCACTGCGCCGCCTACTGGATTGCAGCAGTTTGACACTCAGTCAAATGACTGTGGACTCCAGCACAATACAACACCAGTTTATGTGTTATTTTTAGGAATAGGAATAGTCCTATTAACCTATTAGGGTCTACCAATCCAGTTCTTTCCAACGCATTTGTTTCCCTAACTTCATTCGTTTAAACAAAATGCACTGAACAGCAAAACCAGGCAAGAGCGGTTTATATAAAACCTGTTTTTTTTCTAATTTGAATTGCGATCTTATGAGGAAACCAAAAAAAAACACACAAGAAAAGATGAGCTGAACACTACAACTGAATGTAATGGGTCAACAACAACAACTTGCATTTATTTAGCGTCTATCACGTAAGGGTAATGTTCAGAACTTGTAATTGTTGAAATCACGTGAAAGGCGCTATATAAAAACACACAGTCAATTTACATTACAGTGTATTCTGTGACGCAATTTCAGACGTCTCAATGACATGATAAGGCGCTATATCAAATGCAAGGATTATTATTATTAAGAATAATTTAATGTTGTTATTGTTTACCACTGGGCTGGGGCTGATGTTTCGCTTGGGGTCCAAGGCAAGTCGCTAATCGTTGTCTTGCGTGTTTGCGTTGCAGCGTGCAAAAGAAAAGAGCAAGAACACGGGAAAGAGCGGGGAGCAACTCCCAAAAAGCCTAGGCTGGTGTTCACGGATGTGCAGCGCCGGACTCTACACGCAATATTCAAAGAAAACAAGCGTCCGTCCAAAGAATTGCAAATGACCATTTCTCAGCAGTTGGGGTTGGAGCTAAGCACCGTCAGCAATTTCTTTATGAACGCTCGCAGGAGGAGTTTGGATAAATGGCAGGACGACGGCAGCAGCTCCAACTCAGTCAACTCATCTTCCTCATCAAGCACTTGTACCAAAGCATGAAGGAAAAAACAAACAAACAAACAAACCGCGGACTTTAAAAAAAAAACACCTCGGTGGAATAGCTTTAAAAAAATCAATAATAACCAGGACCTCCGGTTAGCAGGTATAATTATTGAACTAAACAGAAAAAAAAGAAAGAAAAGACGATATAATATTTATATGTCCAACGAAACCAAAGACTTTTAATTCACCTGCATTAGGACTTCGTTCTACAACACTTTATTAGGACTTTTTGCAAAAAAAAAAAAAAAATTCCCACTGGTCGTATTTCCTTCATCACTGACCATTGTTTCAAAGTGTGTGGCTGTTAAGTCGTTGGGAAACATAGTCATGTTATTACGTGAGAGAGAAAAGAATATAGACCATTACTTCAAACACGTGGACCCATTTCACTTCTACGGAAATGCCATGAAGGTGTATGTGTGTAGAAGTGCCGTGTACGTACCAGTGGTCACAGACTTTTTTGCCAGGGGCTGGTCTGCAAGGTTGTGCTCAGACACGACCATTGAAAATTGTGGAGTCGTTGGAATGTGATTGGGTTTATCCAGCCTCTCATTGCTTTGAACGTGAATGCTCCTGTTTCGAGCACTGTGTTCAAAGTGTCTTGAGAGCTATTTGTCACCTCGCACTGGTACTTCCTCTTTGTTCCAATAATGCAACAAGTATCTTAAGCTAAATGACCAAATATTATCTTTTTTTAATAATATTTTTTAAACAAACATACAACAGCAAACCCAGAACAGTAGGAGGACACGATTGTGTTTAATAACGATTAAAAAAGCAGGACAAAACAACAGTGAGAATTCGCAAGAAGCACAAATATTATTTTTTATTCAGAATAATGTTCTGCTACAATGGAACCTACCACAAGATTTTGTTTCCGATGTATTTTTGCACACTAAATTAATGATGTTCTATTGAGCAACACTTCCTTTTTATGTAAAATAATTTTTACCACTGAAATTCCACCATTTTAACTTCAATATAATCATTGTTCACTCGATATCCAAAGAGTAGTATAGGCAGATTTAGCAATGGTATGGGTGGTGTTGTCAAAAGTCCCAGCTGAAATGAATAGTAAATTGAATACTGTATATTAGCATCAGAAGCCTCTTAATACAAGGACAACATTTTTTTTAACCTACAACCAACACAAAACAACCCTCTCCTTCCTCCCCCCCACCAAAAAAAAGTCACTAAAAAGCAACATCTTTAATTTCCTCATGCACATTTTGGTGAATCCTCTCCTATTTCGTAACAGAACAAGTCGCAGAGTAGAATTATGACTCTAATCTTATTTTACAGTGTTTGGCTGCAATGCCATTTTATTGGTTTAGTGCTTAATGCAATGGGCGTCCAAACTCCCAAGTAAACCTCTAATGTATCAGGAAAAGGTCAATCATTCACGCGTTCCATATTTTATGTCTGGAAATGATGAATCCGCTATTCTATTAGATCCTGGCTGATCTGTACCTCAACTCCAATTACCAGCCTTTGCCCCATATCCCTTGATACCCTTACCTAACAAAAAAAATCTATCCAACTCAGTCATGAACATTTTTGATGGATCCATACATCCACGGCCTTTTGGGGGAGAGAGTTCCAGATTTCTACTATCCTTTTCTTGAAAAAAAATGTGGTAATCATAACTAACAAGCGCAAATTAAATGTCGATTCTTGCCAGTTGTTGCTCTCCTTCCCCTCCCCCACCCCATCTCCCCTCCCCCTGTGAACACCAACGTCAATCCCCAGCAGTCTGGACTGTTTAGTGTGCATATGTAACTCTGGGAATTCATTCAGGAAATGTTGTTTTTCTAAACTATGTTTTACAAAATGCTGACAGTCAAATTGTCAAACAATTTCGATGCATCAATTAACAGGGAGATACCTTATTAATCAATACAGTACTAGTATTAGGACCTATAAAGTGTCACAATATCTAGTTATATATCTACAGTCAACATTAGAATGAAAATTGTGATATTGGCCAAAGTTTAGTGAAAGTGCTGTTAACCGTGTTGTACAGGTCTTGTGATGTAAGCAACCAATTGAGTTACAGGTTCCTCTCAGTGTTTGAATATACCTTCTGTAGATCATCTGCTAAAAACCAAAGAGAACTATTTGTTCAGGAACATTGCACTTGTGTTAGAATGTAGTAAGCTATAATGCTAGATCAGTCGTTTGTATCTCAGTTGGTCGCTTTACCATTCATTTCCCCTTACAGCATATATTTGTTTGCACACTGATACAGTGGGTAATAGTGTGAGCAAATTACGTGGCATACAAACGTCTTGAGGGACGAGTAGTAAAACATTGAATGTAGCCTGGATGGATTGAATCATGTATTACTATAACTCATAACGGGCTGCCCAGAGCCTATCTCAGGACTGGAAGACCTTATGAGGAGGCCTTGGTTGCTTGAGCAGGTTTGCGATTGTTTCCAAGTCCTATTGGGTGCCTGTTACTAATGTGTCATCCCCCTCCGCCTCCCCAGCAAATGGCACGTTATATTGGCGTAAGCCTTTTACGGAAGATAAATTCACAGTCAGTATTGGTGGTAATCAGTGTCAATACCTTCTATACCTCAGGTCTAAGGTCACACAAACTCAATATGCAAACGAGAACCCTCCCCACTCCCACATACGCCCCCACCCTCCACCCCACGGGATCTGCTTATCTCAAGTTTAGCTGTTTCTTAACATCAGCTGAAGTTAAACACCCACCAGTCATTATACTATATCATATTTAGTAAAGTCCCCGTCATTATATTGGGCCATATAATCTAACAGTATACAATAAAATGGATAGTATGATACAATGGATAATGATAGCCAAGGGAATCAGGAAAGTAGGCTCCCATCTCTTTGGGAAAGAGAGTAATTGATGCATCAGAAACTGTTTAGGGAATCGGTCATCACCATATTTTGCAAAAGCTACAATGACAGGGAAAATAGCAGAATACACTTTCCTTTTGTTTTTTTTTAAACGGTTTGTCTTTAATGGTAGTGGGAAATTGCACCTGTTTAAAGGTGCAAAATAGGAATCTACCCCCCCCCCAAAAAAAAATCTATATATATGTAAGATCGATGTTTGGGGAACGTTTGCCAAACACAAAATCAAACATCCGCAATCAGAAATTGGGAAACAAACATACATTTCTTAACTTGGTTTGAATTTCAAGCCTTTTCTGTGAATAATCAGACTTCCCTCGGGGAATATGAGATGATGGGAGGAATGAATGAATGAAAGTGTGTAGACTGACGAGGTAGATTGTGGTATGAGTGAGATTTTTTTTTCTTTTACTGCTTTAGATTTACTGTTATACCTTTTAGGGATATTTTATAAACCCCTCCCCCCTCCGCCTCACCCCCTTTTCCCTGTCCCGTTCCATGACTATAATTATCAAAGAAAAACATTATGACATTTTAACATCGACCAATCTCTGTGAACAAAGAGAAAGTACTAGTGATTTTGTTTTTTGAAGGGTGGCACTAAGCCAGGTGCGTTCTTAACGCAGGTCCATCCTGATGGATACTAAATCCAGATTTTAACAATATTCTGGCCTTGTGTTTCTTGTGGTGTGGTTAGCTTTACGATACATTTGGTAATCATTTACTAGTATTAAGGCAAAAGAAGCAAAGGTAAAAATAGCTGCTTCCACGTGTAAAAAAAAATGTGTAAAGATCTACTATTTATAGTGTGAACCAAAGACGCTACCTCACTCGATTTCCATTCGTGATTTTAATCACATTGATGATACCAAAGAATACCAAAGATTTTTTGTTGCACGACCTACTTGTGTGGGCTACTTGGCGTTTCCTTCCTTAAACCCTCAACTGTCACTCAGTGTGAAGTTTTCTTCATAAAAGCTATAGGCAAACATGTTGCAAAATTTGTAAAATCACAGGACGAGTGCCTTGCTTGAACCAAAGTGTTAAACCGTTGTTGACCTCTTCTCACCTTACTTCTTGAATACCTCAGCCTCTAGAAAGGCCACTATTTAAAAAAAATGGAATAATTCTTCACCGTGGTGCTTTGCAGTGCAACCATGCAAATGAAACTTTCTTTGATACCAAAGGATATTTTCACTTATTGCTGACAACCAAAGCTCTTTCTTGCGCCCTCGAGTATTCACACAACGCAGGCCGTGCATTCTTTACCAATTTCTCAAAATACCTCATAGTAATAAATCTTTAGGGTTATGTTGTATAGAGAGTCTATGTGATAAGGCAGAACTTAATAGTTTGATAATTGTTAATGTTACTTCAAAGCTTTATAATTATTTATTTTGTAGACTTGGCAGAACTCTGATGCGCTCAAGGAAGAAGTATTTTGAAGATGAAGGGTTTGTGGAGGGTTGGTTGCAATGGTTTGTGTGGGATGAAACCTGACTTTTTTTTTGTCTATTTAAGCTGGGCTTTTTGTGTTATATTAACAGTATGTTCTTCCTTTTTACAGGGTAAGCCATTTTCTGCTATGCTATATGTGTGACTATTTCTTGGAAAAAAAATGTTTGTGAATTTTGATTTATTTGAATCCGTTTTTTTTGTTTTACAAGCTTTTATTTTGATTGTCTGTCGTGTTAAGTTAATGTGCTTGTAGAAGTCTTAAGAGTTGTAATGTATATCTAATATAGTAGGTTTCCAAAGCAGCCGACGCTTTATGATTGCAATCTGCAGGTAAAAAAAAGGGTTCTGTTCTCACGTTCAGGTGAATCTGCTGAAGAGCAATGGTTATGATGTATGACTGCAGGGTTCAACATCTTCAGAGATGTCTTAGCAGACACTTCTGCACGTGTTACAAACACTGCCAGACCCCAAAATGAATCAAAATGCCAAAAAAAAAAAGGTTCAAGATCCCACTTCTTCACTTAATGCTCCTCAAATGTTTAATTTCATTATCGTTTGTGCATTTTTTTTAATATATATATAGGGTCATTTCGTGGGGAAGTCTGGACATCCAAAGAATTTTTACATTTGTTTAATGTTTCTGAAGCATTGACATGTGTAAGCTATAACTGCTGAGTTATCATTTGTCACTCGCACGGGCATAGAAAGTAGAGGGCGTAGAACTTTTTGGGCAAACTAACTTGACATTGGAAATCCAGTTCCTTTCATACTCTGAAGCATAATCGTGTCTCTTTTCCCCACCCCACTTCCCCCCCACACAAACCCCCCCAAAAAATGTATGTGGGACGTGCATTGTTCAAATTCCCATTCACGACAACAAATTTCTAAAGGCGGGATCCGAGTCAACTTTTCGAAACAATACATTTTTTTTGCCATCCTTATTTCTATCCTCAATAAATTTGTCTTGGACGCACTTACCAGCAATTTTAATGCGTATTTGTACAACTTTCTTACCGATTAACGTCTTTTTTCAGCAGCCTCAATGACCGGGGAAGGAGATTTTGTCCCAAGTAGATAGATAGTGATACGAGATGGTAGTGTGAGAGGTCGTTTTTGAGAGGCCCCACAATTTGACCCAGAACATTCCTTGAACGTTTATTTTCTGTAAAGTTCTCGTGACCATACTGGTAACTGAGGTATGTAGGGCTCTTTTATTTATAATCATTTTAACTTAATTTTTAAAAAAAATGGTTTTAGCAACCCAGTTGGTTGGATATTATCCTTTAATTTATGCACTCTTCAGCTGAACTCTCCAAGACATAATCTTACATCAATAATTAACTGGAAAATGTGCTTGGTTGGTGACGATTATAGCCGGCAATCCGACTGTGCAATATACAGCGTAATATTAAACTGCACTAATAAAATAAGCTGAACAATATTGCTAAAGACACTGTTGGAATGAAATGAACTCAAGACCAGTCTCTTATGAAGCATTATGCCAACTCACAGAACTGCAGTTAAAAATTATCCAGTGGTTATTATAATAATAATCCTTGCATTTAATATAGCGCCTTATCTTGTTGTTGAGACGTCTGAAAGCGCTTCACTGAATATACTGTAAAATGGATTGATTGTGTATTTTGTGAGCGAAACTCAGCATTTGCCAACTGTTATAACAACTGTTGAGACGTCTCAATGATGTGATAAGGCACTATATCAAATGCAAGGATAATTACTATTATTATTAATAACATGACCACAAATACAAAGCAACACACATTTTGATGCACTAATGAATTGGATTTAGACATTCTTTTTCCTCACTTGCCCAATGAATTTCTGGTGTGCATTTCTCACCAATGATGCATAACTCCGCTTTTCTTATTGCTTTAGTCCAAGAAAGGTAAGCTGCACAGCATTTTTGCACTTCCACTTTCAAGTTAGATTGCCTTGAGAGTTATCGGTACCGAAAAAGAGAGCGCCTAGGACAATCAACAGGTGAAGGGGGGCATAGATAATAAATAGTATCTCTTCCAAGAGCCAGAGGGAGTTCTTCCATAGCAATGAAAACAGAAAGGCTTTAAAAAGGTTTTGATAAAAAGACAAGTTGCTGACATTTTGCAAATTAGAAGGCAGTAGTAGTTTATGCGTTTGCATCTGCATTTCCAAATAGTGATTATTGTATATGATTACGGTTTATTGCTGATATTTTGTCAAACTTTCCCCTTAGTCGAGCGCTTCTGTATTTTCGTGCGTAGTTGCGAGTGTAATGCAATAGGCATTACTCTGGTTTGTTTCTAGCTATCCTTCCTGTACTGCGTTAAGGTTTTTTTATTTTTAGTTTTGAAGCTTTGCTAATGTCCTCACTATACGCCGTGCAATATCATCTGCTGTGTTTGCGAAGCAAAAAAAGCAAGTGATGATGTCATCATGCTTTTTCAGTGTTAAAATGTTTCAGCGTTTATGTAGTCACAAAATGTAGTAAATAAAATGTTGGGTTTTCCAGCACTTTAAATGTAGACTGTCTGTTGTCTTTTTCTGTCTCTTCACAGGAACACATAATAATAATTATTATTATAATAATAATATACAATAATAATAGTAATAAACCTTGCATTTGATAAAGTGCCTTATCACATCTTTGAAACACATCAAAGCGCTTCACAGAATATAATGTAAAGTGAAATGATTGTATATTTTGTGGGCGGAGGTCGATTGCACTCAGCAATGTCCCATAAACAGTTGCGGATTGAGTGACAAAATTATTAAGTTTTTTTTTGAAGGGATTATTTCTCTGGGAAAAGTGATCCGCCAATTGATTAACAACCAGGTCCCTGCTTACTGCTAGGCAAACAGAGGCGTGTGGAGTAAGGAAAATTGCCTATCGTTTCTCGAGAAATAGCGTGAACTTTTCACTGGGTGTTTTGTTTTAGTTTTCACCTCGTGAACACGTTCCTGTGTTCAGGTTAACTTGCACTTTTCTCTCTTGCGATCTTGGGTTTATAAGTAATTTTGCCTCCTCTTGTATTTCTGGATCAACGCACCTCTTACACTCAGAGAGAGGGTGGTTGAGTGATCTGCCTGAACCGCTCTTAAAGCAACCGCGAGGAGGTGCAGGTTGTCTCGGAACACTTTCCAGAGATTAAACTTCTTTAAAAGGCACTTTATAAGTCTCGGAGTTGGACAAGAGTGTGCGATGGCTCCTGGTGATTCTTGCTCCTGATTTGTGCGTGTAGTGAAAATGTCACTTCCAATTAGCTCTCTCCCCTGTGAGGAAGCACCTGGTCTCCATTCCACACCTCCACTGGGAACTTAGTGGGTAGTAAAGTGGTGGGGGGTGGGATATGATTTACTTGATTAACTCAATCACACTGTGGTTCCGTTTAAAAAAATATTTCCAGTACAGATTAGAGTTTCAACTGCCTACTGATGCAGTTTTATCCCAGCGCCACGCAGTGCTGCTAAATATATTTTACTATACGATTGGGTTACATTTTTGTCGCAAGTTAAGATTCGGCTGGAGGAACGCTGCATTGCCAGCCAGAGGTGCCGTCCTTTGGATGAGACGTAAAAACCGAGGACCCATCTGTCTGTTCAGGTGGACATTAAAGATTCCATCGCACTATTTAAAAAGAGAGAGAAAGGGAGTTTATTATGGTCAACAATTCTTCAGATAAAATTAGCCATTCAATCAGCAATGTTTGGGACATTGCTGTGCACAAATTAGCTGCCGTGGCTGCTTACATATATAAGGTTAGCGTACTTTACAGTAAATCCAGTGAAGAACTTTGAGATGTTTTGACAAATATATCAAATGCAAGAATTATCATGATCATGGAGGAAATGGCGTTGCAAGGCAAACAGGATGTATTGTGAAATTATGTGAGATCAGTCATTTGTCAAATAGAGCATTTTCAAGTTAAATATAGTTCTGTAAACATAATAAATACCTGAGCGTGAAACCTTTTTTTTTTCATGCGAAATGCATAACACATCAGAATCCTTTCGGTTTCAGATTGAAGACCATTGTCTTCAAAAATGGCAAAATTCAGAACAATTTTAGAGAAGTCTTTTTCTGTTCTTTTAAAGATTTTCGAGGATTGTTTGCAATCCTATCTGTAGGCACAAGGTGGCAGGCATCGCTTGCAAAACTAACTTCTCCTGCAGAGAAACAAAATTGATCTATTGTTTATTACCTAGTAAATGTCATCCTAACCATTAAATGTCATCACGTTAGAAAACACTTCAGAAGACACTAACCAGTGCGTTACTATTAAGTACAGCGGCTTGTTATATTGGCAAACGTGACAGCTATTCTGCATGAATCTCAAACAGCGATAATCTGTGTTTAGGGTGAAATAGTATAAGGCAAGGATATGAGAAATACCTCTTCTGTGAAAAAGCACCCTGGGATCTTTGACATCAATCAACCGGAACAGGCAGGTGCTCAATACTGTCTTATGCGGAGGATGGCATCTCCGACAACCAGCTGGGTAAGCAGGA